TTGAGGGAGCAATTTGAGGCTGAAAGCCACCAGTAATGTTTGGTGCCCTGCACAGGAGTGAAGTGCAGTGGTTCCAATGTTAATAGGAATCTGTTTGCGCTACGCTGACTTGCAGTGCCTGTTGCTTTCCTGGGATAAAGTATCTTTTACTTAATGCAATAATAAAGAATGTTTGTTTTCAAAGCCAAAAAATCAATTTATTGAAAAGAAACAACTGCTTGGGAAACAGGGCAAGAGGGTGGGGTGGGGAATGGTACAATCACAGATTTGTATATATCCTGTTATCATACTCAGCCTTCCTGTCTGGAGTGCTGTGCAATGAGTGCTGTGCTTCAGGATGGCTATACTGCATGGTGATGGAGGTTGAGTGCAGTGGGTAAGTGTCATAGTTTTCAGGACTGGGTGGTGAAGCTACAGATGTTGGAGGCAGCTGGTGGTAAGAACCTGGATTTTGGGGAAAGTGGGTTGGAGGTGACATGGGGCACAAGGGAAAGTTTTGTGATAAGGGCTGCGGAGGCGTGGGGGAGGGCACGGTAGTGCTCCGCCTGCATAGCTGCGAGTGCCTGGATCGAGTCTGCTTGGCACTCCATGATGCTTATCAGCTGATCTGTGCTTTGCTGCTGGAGCTCCACGCTTTGGTGCCAGCGCTCCTCTGCTGCTGGCAGATCCACCTTTCACTCTCCCTTCACTCCTGCACTTTTAGATTCTCGCTAAGGGTCTGCTGCATAATTTCATGCAGCATGTCTTCTTTGCTTCTACGTGGCCCCTTCCTAATTCTTTGGAGTCTTTCGGTCGGTGATAACACAGACAGCTGAGATCTCAAGGTGGCATTTGTAAAGGCAAAATGCAATACTTAACAGAGGCAGCATTGTTCACACCAAACAGAGCAATGATTCCCCCATACTTAAGGGAAAGCACAGTCTACACAATAGCATAATTTGCCCGTCCTAAGTGAGCGGACATAAGCCACGGGAGCCCCAAAATGGTGAGTAAGCACAGGGTCAAGGGGGACTGACAGTTTCATGGCTATACTGTCTTCTGGGTTTTTGTGCCTTGGGGAGAGCCAACAGCTGCAGGGGGCCCCTATACTGAACACTGTCCCCACCTCTTTCACAGGAGTTCGTCCTGGAAGATACCTTTGCTGCTGAGGGTGACCTGGGAAGCAAGGGAGGGTCTTCTACTACAATGTGGCTTCCACCCTGGCCTGTGTGCAGCAGTGGTCCCACCCACCCCTCACGGCACAGTGGCGCAGTCATGTTAGCCTGATTGGGACAAGGACCACAGTGGCTCTCCCAAGAAACCTGCGCAAGCACATTGCCCAAGTTCTGGATGAGACCTTTGAAGAGATCACTGACAGATTACTGTGATGAGAGCACATCAATGCCCTATTCCACATCTGGGCATGCATGCAACCCTAATCCTCCTTGACCCAAGAGCCTGCACCGAATAACTTCCTTCCCAAAATAAAAGCCACTTACTGGGCACCTCCTCTGGTGTTTGTCCTTCCCCAAGCACTGTCCGCTGCAACTGGCTACCTTCCTTCTGGCTGCATGCATCTAGGAATCCCGGGGTGTCTTCCTCCTCCTCCTCAGCACCCTTGCTCCTGCTTTCCTTCTCCTCCTGCCTTGTTGAACTGGGCTCTGAAGTGTCCATGGTGATACTGAGTGGAGGTGGGGTCGCCCCCAAGCATCATGTCCAGCTCTTTGGCAGGTTGCAGGGGCAGCACTGGAGTGGCAGTTTGCCTCACAGGCTTTGCTCCAGGTGGGGGTGTTCTCTCTCTCTCTCTCTCTCTCCCCTCCTCCCCCCCCCCACCTGCCTGTAATTGAGTAATGTGTTCCCGTAGTCTCCTGTAAGATCCCCTCCTCGTCGTGCAGGGTCGGGGATGCAGCGAGGGGTGAGACTCCAGCACCCCTCCCTTCTTTTGGCCTTTGCACAGACCTGATGTTCAAACTCTGCCTGGCTGGGCAATTCTCCCTGCCCTTAGGAGCCCCTCGGCAGCAGAATCTGGCCCCATGACCAGCTCTGCGGCCGCATTCCACAGCTCCTTCACTTTAACCCTGCACTGCAGTGTATACTGGTCATGGCCTCGTTCCATTATGTTGCTTGATATCTGCCTGAGGGTATCTTAATTCCTATGGCTGGAGCGCAGCTGGGACTGGACAGCTTCCTCCCCCCAAACACTGAGGTCCAACACCTTGCCATTGCTCCATACTGGGGATCACCTGGCATGTGGAGGCATAGTCACTGGGAAAGATTCGCTGAGAGCACTTGACGCCTGGCTGAGCAAACAAGAAGGGGATTTTCAAAATTCCCAGAGAATTTAAAGGTTGGTCGCCTGAGGGCAGGGCAGTAGAGGTCAGTGATGACCAGAGTGGCTAGAACAGGCATTGTGGGACACTTCTGGAGGCTGATCAGAGCACATTAACAGACCAGGGCATCCACACTGGCGCTGTGGTGCTCCAGCGGGGGCGCATCAAACATTATTCCACTCGCTGAGGTAGATTACCAGGAGCATTCTAGCTGTGGAGTCAGAGCACTCTACATGCCTTGCCAGTGTGGACACATTATGAGTTAGAGCACACGGGGCTGCTTTAATGCGCTCTAACTTGCAAGTGTAGCCATGCCCTTAGGGTGCTAGGGACTGGTTCTTGGTTGGTATGTCTATTTGTTGAAGTATTTTAAATTCACCATTGAGAAGTTCATTTGTTATTGCTGCATCTACAGAATAAACCTAGGTGTAGTTGCATCTTCCTGATCAGGTGAGGATTGTCTTTTAATAGGCTAGTTCAATATAGGGAGCAACAGACAAATAATCAGTCCTAGTCTTCCCATTTGCAGAGACATCAATCAGAGGGAACACTGTAGACTGAAGTGAAAATGCTTCAAATACATGCACTTTCTGAGGCCTTGGCTACACTCGGGAATTCACAGCGCTGCTGCAGCAGCACTGAAGCACGAGTGTAGTTGCGCCGCCAGCGCTGCGAGAGCGCTCTCGCAGCACTGTATGTACTCCACCTCTCCGAGGTGAGTAGCTTGCAGCGCTGCGAGTAAGCGTGCAGCGCTGCAGGCTCAGCTCATACTGGCGCGTTACAGCACTGCACTTGCTGGGCTGGGGGGGGGGGAAGCGTTTTCACACCCCTGAGCGCAGCAAGTTGCAGTGCAGTACAGCACCAGTATAGCCAAGGTCTAATAGATAAACTTTACTGTCATCAAATCTGTGTGAAATCCATAATTTTGTTGGAGAATTTCACACAAATATTGTTGCCATTTAACTTCATATGATTTCACAGCCTCCAAATCTTGATATATTTTTCTTTTCTGAATTTTGATAAAATGTCTATGCACTGGAAAAATGCAAACAATGAGTTTTGATGTAAAAGTCATCTTAGCCTGACAATAGACCTATTTTCAAATTAAAGTGGACTTTTTTTGTTCTAAAAACATTACTAATGTTTTCCAAAATAATGAACCCAGTTCTGAGATTGGGCAGGTGGCGGGGAGGGAGAGCAGTAAAAATTGTAATTCTGAGGGGTACATCTACATTGCAATAAAAAAAACCCCATGGCATCAAGTCTGAAGCCAGGTCAATTGACTCCAATTCAGGCTGCGGGGCTAAAAATTGCAGTTTACGCATGGGGGCTTTACCTGGAGGCCAGGCTCTGAGAAACCATGAGGGTGAGTGGTTTCAGAGCCTGGACTCCAGGCCAAGCTCCAACATGTACACTCCAGATTTTAACCCTGCAGCTCAAGCCCCGCAAGCCTGAGCCAGCTGACCTGGGCCAGCCCTGGCCGTGCCATATGTCTTTTATTGCAGTGTAGACCTTGTGACTTCATGAAACATTGCCAGCAACATACAAAGAAATTATTACTTCTCAAAGAGGCCTTCTGGGTGATCAGGCACGATGGAAAAGTATTATCTTGTTTCTAGCTTCCTGTTACCAAGTTCAAATTGAGAGGAAAACTATGTATCCGGCAATTGTAGGGAGATGATCTTAAACTCTTATTTCTCTTCTCTCTCTCCCTCTCCCCTCCCCCAATATCATAGAGCTAAGTTATAGCTGAATAACACAGGCTATGTTTATATCTTCACTTAAAAGAAACCTTGAGAAGAAAAGTAATTTGTGGAGACAAAAATCCTGAAAAAAATTTCTTTTGCTTTGCAGCTCAATTGTTAGTGTTACAAAAATGCAAAATATGGGTATCTTACTAGCTGATGCACTGGAGAAAGTAAGTATATGTAGTGGAATAGGGCACACATGCCTGTTTCATCTTATAAAGAGATGCTGATATTGTGTTATAACATAAAATTGATTTACTTTAACTGCTGTAATCTGATGGATGTGGGGCTATATTCTGGATTCAACTAGCTATTTAAAAAAATATTCTAAAAATCAATTGCTGAAATGTTCTTTTGTTTTTCTGTGGAGGCTGAGATATTTATAAGATGTAACTTTGAACTCTCTTCTGTACTCCACTGTGACTGTTAAAGATCTGCATGTATTTGTGTTCTATTGGGTAACAAGACACTATCGTTTGAAGTTTTTAAAAGGGCCATATTAATTTCAGATTTATTTAAAAACTTGAGGAAAAATAACTGAGATTGGCACTGGAAGTCAATGGCAGAGCTGGGAATAAAATCCAGATCTTCTGGATTCTAGTCCTGTGCCTTAGCCACAAGATTAACTTAACTCAGATAAGTGGGCTACCCACACAAGCAAGGAGATCACCTCTATGAAGCAGCTGAGGGAAGTTCACAACATTATAAGGACAGGTGCCCATCAGCCCTGATAAGTTTAAAACAAAACCACAGCAAAATAGACACCAGGAAGGCAAGACAGTATCAGCAAAACAGCCACAGGTGATCCACTTGGGCGTCACACACAGCATACATCAGAAGTGGCCCCAGAACTGTCCAATAGCCCATGCCACCATCCTGGTTGAGGACTAATGTGAGACTTTGGAGATTCCAGTGCTGTTTCCTGACCTCTGCCTTTGCAAATACTCCCATGGTACTGCAGTTCTCTGTCAGACTGCTATGAATAGAGCATCTTTCCTGGCAGTTTTGGTTGCAATCCACAGCAACATCCAGTGCATTTCATGGTGGTCCACTGTAGGATTCCACTTGCAGTTAACACATTTGAGAGAACCTGTTTTTACAAGCTGCTTCTTAACTTGCACTCCTCTTGCATATGATTTTTTAAGATTCTGCCTATATTAAACAAACATGATGTCATTAAAGTCCTAAGCCTGAGACAATTCTGTTCTTAGTTTTGCCTATGCTTACTGAAGCCTCAAATACATTTTCAGCATATAAATTTTGTATGTAACATTAACTCATTGGAACAAATCCTTTGTGTGACAAGCTCAGCAAAATCACATCCAAGATTAAATTATAGCTCAGACTTTTTTCCCTTTTTTCTTTAGAACTAGCAGTACACATGGCTCTCCATTCTCCTTTCTCCTCCCCTCTTTCCCCCATCTCCAACTCCTCTGTTCTAATTTAGCATTCCTTCCACTCTCTCTGACCTCTCTTGATTCTTCAGACATGCAGTTTTTCTCTGGGATTGGGAAGAGGTTCTCAGATATCACAATGGGCTACTGTTGTAACAACTGGAACTTGAAAAGATTGAGAGTGACTTTAACAGCAGCTGGAATGCTGATTGGCTCTGCTTGGCACCCCTTGTAGTAGTGTCTGTCTCTCATGTCATTTATTCACGTTAACCAGGCTGAAGTAACTTTGACACTGGTATGTATGCAGTGTAGTTGGTGACAACCAGGTGGGAGTCTTCACTGCTAGTCAAACACATGGAGCTGCTATGTCTCAGATATATACTGTTCATTTCAATGGAAGACACTTAAGATTGGTCTGCTAAAATATAAAAGCTTTAATAATAAAAAAATCTTTCAAGACTAAATTCAGCAGAGAAATAGCCAAAAGTCTTTCTGTTGTGACTTTTCTTTTAATCTTTCAGATCAGCCTCAAATTTCCTGCAGCAGCAGCACAGATGGCCTATCAAAAGCCACGACCAGCCCTGGAGAAGAGTATATGGTCCAAAAGAATTTACATTATCCAACAACCTCGGAAATGTTAAGCTATAAAGCAAAATAGTCATGTCTGCTTGACAGTGAGCTAGTCTAACCACAATCTGCTATTAAATCCTGTTTGCAAAAGGACAAAAACATAGGGAAATAGTTTGCTGGCTGAACTGTATTGTATTTTTCTTTCATTTCTGGCAATAAAACACTTCATAAGTATACTAATTTCTTGTTACATGGCTTCATCCACCTGACTTTGTAGAATCTTCTATCTTTTTTCATAAAATCTTCAGTCATATCACAGAAATTTGAGTTGGAAAAGAAATGGTTTTCTTTTATCTAGTCCATTCCCCCCCACTGGCAAAGGATTGTTCCCTGCATTGTAGGGCTAACTCATGTCTTGATAACAAGTCCCGTGTAAAGGATAATGGGTTGTGCTGCTCCAGGAGCAGACTCCGAGGCACAGTTCCCGCCCCTATCTGGTGCTGGGGTGGGTAGTGAAGAAGTAATTTGTCCCAGATGTAGGCTTGGTACAAATTAGTTCCCCAGCACAGCTCTTCCCACTCCCAGCCTACCTGGAAGGGAGGGGAAGTAGTAGTCCTGTAGAGGCTGCTTTTCTTTACTGTACCCCCAGCATTGCACCCCATAATATGGGTAGCCAGCACGGGAGAGTGAGCACTTTGTACCTCCTTACTTCCATGCATGGGAGTGTTGGGCCATAGTATGTCCCAGTGTTCTTAGATGTCTGCTTCACTTTTCTATAAGTCTCCTCATATTAGTTGTATGAGGAGAGGAACTGCAGGAACATGGCTCTAACTATGTTGTTGTAATTGATGTATTAAGAAGTTGTCTTTGAAAATAGTTTTAATCAATGTAATTATGCCACCAGTCGCCTAATTTACAACTTCTGTGGGTGAGAGACAAGCTTTCAAGCTTAGGCAGGTGACTTGGAAAAGAGCTCTGTGTAAGCTCGAAAGCTTCTTTCTCACCAACCAAAGTTGGTCCAATAAAATAAATTACCTCACCCACCTTGTCTGTTTTAATATCCTGGGACCAAAATGGCTACAACAACACAAGTTAGCAACAAGATGTTTCCTTAAAATTTCCCACCATTGCAATAATGGGGTATTTTTCTGCTTCTGGTAACAGTGGTAGTGTAGATTGGCCACTGGTGTCTTTACCACCATGTCATCTAGATTTGCTCTGAGCAGATGACCAGGTGGCTTAAAAAAACAGAAGGCTGCCAACTCCTTCTCTACACTACAGTTTTCATGGTTGCTAACATCAGTAGAATCAATGCTGGGAAGTTTTAGAGGAAAATGGTTCAGTGTAGACACTGACAGGACATAACTTTGTATTAAATAATCTGAGACATTTAAAAATGTGACTGCCTGACCTCCCGAATATATATGATAGGTGGCCCAGGCAGTGAGTGACTCTACTTAGGGTTGTCCTACACTTTCCACTATCCTGTTTTCAGTTGCTTATAACTTTTCTGGACTTCAACCATTTAGGCAGAAATCTTCCATCCTGGGTGTCTGCCTTAGGCTAAATTATATATATTTTAATTTCAGCAAAAATTATTCACCATTTTTTCAGAACAAGGTTAGGAGGAAACTTGTTGTAAAAACTTCATTACATGAGCAAAACAATTGTTTCATTGAGAAAGCTCTAGTACCTCTGTGTTTTGGAGCAAGGACTTTGAAATTTGGCTAAGAGTGGAGAAATTGTCCTGCTGTCCCTGTGAAAATCTGCCCAAATTTGACCAAGCTTGGAGCATCTGAAAATCTCTGTTCATACAATTCCTTACCTACCTTTTGATTGTTGTATTAATCCCCAGGCTGCCAAACAGCAACAGCAGTAACCAGCTTGCACTCCGCTTCCCATGACTGGCTGTGGAAACAGACCATAGGAAGTTCAGCCTCAAGGGTTTGACAGACAGCAGGCTCGTGGCTCCTGATTGGCTCTTTGCCCTCTGTAAAGTGTCTAGACAACCGGGGTGGGCAATGTGAGCCACCACCCAGGCTGCTACGATCATGGGGAGTCTCAGTGCCCATAGGACCCATGTGTCTGTCTGCATTGAAGGCTTCTGTAGCAAAGTATGGACAGGGCAGGGGGTGGGGCAATGCTTAATTTGCTCTGGGGCTTGCCAGGGCTGAGTCCCAGCACCTCTAGGCTTGGTGGTTTATAGCTGCAATATCTCTGGGCTCCTGATGAGCAGCTGCCACTCAGCTCTGAAGGCAGCGCTGCTGCCCGTAGCAGTGCAGAAGTAAGGGTGGCAATACCATAACATGCCACTCTTGCATCTGTGCTGCTGCTGCTGGTGGCAGCACTGCCTTCACAGCTGGGTGCTACCCAGCCAGCAGCTGCCACTCTACAGTCACCCAGCAAGTGCATAATTTTGTGACAGGGCTTCTTTCATGACAAATGAAGCATGTCAGGGAGGGGGGAAGGGTTCTATGGGCAATAAAGCCACCTCTTGGCAGGGTCTGGGTCTCCTGTGTGTGGGACACCTGCAGGGAGCAGAGTTGGGGTGGCTGTGGCTGGTGCAGGTGGCTCAAGTGTACTCATTTCAGCCAATCCCTGGCTGAGCTGGGAATGGGGCCCGCTTAGCCCCTTCCCTGCCCTCCTCAGCCCAGAGCTCTCAGACTGCAGAGGGAGCCATAGTAGACTGACATACCACCTGCTCTCCCAGGGCTGCCGTTGCCCCAGCCCACAGCTTTCCAGAGCCCCCACCCCTGACTCTGTATTTGAAAATATAGAAAACCCCAAAAATATTTAAATGGTATTCTAATCTTGTTCAACAGTGTGATTAAAACTGCCATTTTTTTAATTGCTTGACAGCCCGTGTGTGTGTGTATATACACACACAATGTCTGTCTGTATATTCACATTGAAAGAATTTTTAGGCTGCAAAGTTAAGCACTCAGATTTCAGGAAATGCCAGAATTAGGGTTGTCTGTGCAACCTTAAATTGGTTCCTTTGTGCATTTGTATTATGATTAGGTTTGGCAGAAATCAATTTTTATTTTTTAAACCTTACTATAATCTGAGTATTTTTTTTCAATTTTATTGATTTAAATTTTCACAGCTGTAAGACATTGGGGGTGGAGGGGCAGACGATTATTTGGTGACAGTAGATGTTGAGATTTATAACCATTAAAACAGAAATTGTGAACATCACATGTCAAAAAATACAAAGTGAATATCCATAAATCAAACTCTAAGAAGTTCTAAAGCAATACTTTTCTTAGGAACATAAGAACAACAATACTGGGTCAGTCCAATCGTCCATCCAGCCCAGTGTCCTGTCTTCCGACAGTGGCCAATGCCAGATCCTTCAGAGGGAATGAACAGAACAGAACTTTGCCTATCTGCAAATTTCAGTTTTTATTGACAGAAATATTTTTTGTCAATTTATGGCAGTACAGTGAAATTGACATTTATTGACACCCATAAAAATGTAATCCCTACAAGCCTAATTATGATAGTCTTTAATTACATTATCACAACTCCCCCTCCCCCCGCCCCTAATTGTCTTATTCAGTACTCAGTATGGATGGTATTCAGAAAATTTAAATTGCTGATAATGAAGCTATTTTCTGCAAGATCCTGGCCTCACAAACACAATAGATGTCAATCAGAGCTCAGCTGTGAATATATAAAATGCTAATTCTCTGAAAAATTGGATCCTAGATTTTTTAAATGGGGCACTCAAAATTAGCGTACTCTTTAGACATAAATATCTGAGCCTCATTTCCTCAGCTGTAAAATGGGGATAACAAACTACTTTATACAGGGATGTTGTGGAGATAAATTAATTTAACAGTTAAGCACTCAGATATGATTACTGGAGGAAATCAGTAATTCTGAATTCAGTGCAAGGTTTGAATAGCATGCAGTAAGTGAGGCATAGGGTCACACCTTGAATAATGAGGGTAAAACAAAATATTGAATAGCTGCTCAGTGAGCAGCAACCATCCTGTGCACTGAATGAGGCTGGATTGGAGGGAGGAGGGAGAAATAGTGTGAGATCATATGCATAGGCAACATTAATTCTGACACTTTAAGTTTTGAGTGCTTGACCTTAAAACCTGAATATTATTTTAATGTAGTCTTTATACATAATATATAGAATTTATAAGCATTTTAACAAAGGTACATTCTATCCACACTAGTTCAGCCCACATTTTGAAGGGCCATTTTTTCCAGCCTCCACGTAACTTTTAAAGGTAAGGTAGATATGTCATTTTGGGAAGAGTTCTGTATTTAAAATTTTATTGGCTTCTGTCTTGTCCCTCTAAGTAACACTTTTGTTTCCTTAATATGCTTCAGGTATTACTGATTATAAATAGTTTAAATGTGTTGTGTGACCTCACAGTCTCTTTTTTGGTGGGTGAGCATAAGCAGGCAGAGTTCATGGAATGATGATGACAGAGGCAGGAGTTCAGTAACGGCAGAGCATGTATTTATTACTGGAAGAGGGTGCAGATAGGCAGTTCTCCAACTGCTGCTGGTGCTGCTGACTCCAAAAAATACTTTCATTTCACTTTACACAGGCAGGAACCACCCCTTTACCTGACCTGTCACTCAGGTTACTTCCTCAATCAAAGTCCTCCTTCCCCTGAGAAGCCACACCCTTTAGGGGCTGTCTGTGGATGTGCCCCACGCACAGACCCAGCCAGCACAGTATCTTGGTTAGTTACACACACAACTCTGTAAGCAGCTATCCTGTCAGGTAAGTCAGAAGCTTTTAATTTACTTTATATGTACTTCAGTGTTAGTTATTGAGCTTATGGAGTAGCTACGGTACTTTGATCATATGGGGCACAGTTCTTGTGCTCTGTAGTCTGTGACTGATGAGTGGAAGTCTGTTTTACTGACTAGACCAGGGATGGGCAAACTATGGTCCACAGGCTGGATCTGGCCCACCAGCCATTTTAATCCGGCCCTTGAGCTCCCGTTGGGGAGCGGGGTCTGAGGCTTGCCCCGTTCCAGTGCTCCAGCCAGAGAACAGGGTCGGGGGCCGCTTCACACACCTCCCAGAAGCAGCGGCATGGCCCCACTCTGGCTTCTGTGCCTAGGGGCAGCCGGGGGGCTGCATGCTGCCTCTACCCCAAATGCTGCCACCACAGCTCCCATTGGCCAGGAACTGCAGCCAATGGGAACTGCAGGGGCAGTGTCTGTGGACAGGGCAGCTTGCAGAGCCGTCTGGCCATGCCTCC